AGGTTTAGGAACAACTAGTTTATTGCTTGTGCTTTGTCTAGTTGACCTTGTGCTTTGCTCGCTACAGTAAGCAAACATCTGGCGCATGTAGTGTGGAAGTTTGTTGTTAATGGCTTTGTAGACGAGCATGATCTCGTAGTGTTTATGCGTTGCTTTAATGTCTTTCCAGCCCAGCCGGGTAAGCACTTCGATTGATGGTGTCCTGTAAGGCGCCTTCAGTATCAGTTTTCCTGCCCGATTCTGCATTCGTTGTATCTTCTGCAGATCTTGATCTGGAGCAGTGTCCCATGCTGTGCAGGCATATGTTATGTGTGGCAGGAAAATGGCGTTATACAAAGTGCAAAGAGCTGACGTTGAGATGAAGGGGCTGACGTGTTTCATCATAAAAGAAGAACGCCTCAATTTCCCTAGTACAGCTTTCACCTGGTCCTTCCAGTTTAGTTGACGGTCGATAACCACACCTAAGTAGGTGTATTTATCACATGTTTTAATGTTGACACCATTGACAGTAAGTCTGGGAGGGTTACAGTTTGTCAGTCTCTTGTTCGTTCCTATGTACATACGTTCCTATGTACATACATGTGAGGTTAGTAGAAAAGAGAGGGACGAAGATTACTAGATTACTAGTATTTTGATGTCGTTTGTCTCTACAGATATCGACGAATGTACCGACGGCTCGGACAATTGCCACGAACAAGCAACCTGTACTAACACAGAGAGCAGTTTCACCTGTGCCTGTAACACCGGTTACAACGGGGACGGAGTCTCCTGTACTGGTAAGAACAAAGGGGTTTGGTTCTACAAGATCAAGATTGAATTAAACATTTTAGAAAGAAGGAGCCATGGCCGTATTGACATTCGGGACAACTTTAAATCTGCATAGAATAGATCCCTAAAATTTTCTCAGGGATCAACAGCATGTGCTATGAGGTTAGTAGAAAGAGAGAGACGAAGATTACTAGATTACTAGTATTTTGATGTCGTTTGTCTCTGCAGATATCGACGAATGTACAGACGGCTCGGACAACTGCCACGAACAAGCAACCTGTACTAACACAGAGAGCAGTTTCACCTGTACCTGTAACAACGGTTACAGCGGGGACGGAGTCACCTGTACTGGTAAGAACAAAGGGGTTTGGTTCTACAAGATTCAATGAAACATTATCCTGTTAGAAAACAGTAGCCATGCCCGTATTTTCCTTTAGGTATTGACATTCGGTCCAACTTTAAATCTGCATAGAATAGATCCCTATAATTTTCTCAGGGATCAACGGCATGTGCTGCGAGGTAAGTAGAAAGAGAGAGACGAAGATTACTAGATTACTAGTATTTTGATGTCGTTTGTCTCTACAGATATCGACGAATGTACAGACGGCTCGGACAATTGCCACGACCAAGCAACCTGTACTAACACAGAGAGCAGTTTCACCTGTGCCTGTAACACCGGTTACAGCGGGGACGGAGTCTCCTGTACTGGTAAGAACAAAGGGTTTGGTTCTACAAGATCAAGATTCAATGAAACATTATATACTTTTAGAAAACAGTAGCCATGGTCGTATTTTCCTTTACGTATTGACATTTGGTACAACTTTTGGTCTGCGACAAATAGATCCCTTTAAAGTTCCTCAGGGATCAACAGCATGTGCTATGAGGTTAGTAGAAAAGAGAGGGACGAAGATTACTAGATTATATATATAATTGCTAGTATTTTGATGTCGTTTATCTCTACAGATATCGACGAATGTACAGACGGCTCGGACAATTGCCACGAACAAGCAACCTGTACTAACACAGAGAGCAGTTTCACCTGTGCCTGTAACACCGGTTACAGCGGGGACGGAGTCACCTGTACTGGTAAGAACAAAGGGTTTGGTTCTACAAGATCAGATCAATGAAACATTATATTGTTAGAAAACAGTAGCCATGGCCGTATTTTCCTTTACGTATTGACATTCGGTACAGCTTTTGGTCTGCGAAAAATAGATCCCTCAAACTTCCTCAGGGATCAACAGCATGTGCTGTGAGGTTAGTAGAAAAGAGAGGGACGAAGATTACTAGACTACTAGTATTTTGATGTCGTTTGTCTCTGCAGATATCGACGAATGTACAGACGGCTCGGACAACTGCCATGATGATGCAACCTGTGCTAACACAGACGGCAGTTTCACCTGTGCCTGTAACGACGGTTACAACGGGGACGGAGTCACCTGTACTGGTAAGAACAAAGGGTTTGGTTCTACAAGATTCAATGAAACATTACACTTTTATAAAACAGTAGCCATGGCTGTATTTTCCTTTACGTATTGACATTCTGTACAACTTTTTGTCTGCGAAAAATACATCCCTTAAATTTCCTCAGGGATCAACAGTATGTGCTATGAGGGTAGTAGAAAGAGAGAGACGAAGATTACTAAATTATTTTGATGTCGTTTGTCTCTACAGATATCAACGAATGTACAGAGGGCTCGGACAACTGCCACACTGAAGCAACTTGTGCTAACACAGACGGCAGTTTTACCTGTTCCTGTAACGTCGGTTACGACGGGGACGGAGTCAACTGTGGTGGTGAGAACAAATAATTTGGTTGCAAATCAAGCAATGGTTGATCCGTCTAAATATCATATCCCAACATATCATATTTAAAGCGTACGTGAAAGAATTGAAAGCATGTTAAGGCAGTGATACCACATAATAATGTACAATGCAGAAATATTTTCGTTGAAGAGGTTCATCAGTCACGTAGAATTATCATTAGTAGTATATTCATCAATCAGTGACTCTTTTTAAAGGTAAAAACACGTACCTCCAAATTTTCGATGTCTACGATCTAAAATCACGTACGATAGATCACGGAGTGACCTAGCCTCACGAGAACACGAGACACGAGAAATATTTTCCTTTTAAGCTTATTGCAGTAAATACGTACGGAACGTTTATACATAATAAGGTAGTGTTTGATTTGATTTGATTTGATGTGTTAACTGGCAGTATTTCCGTGTCAACCCTACAATGCTGAATATTCGTTTTTTTTTCTTAATTAATGTCATGTAAGGTATTCAAAACCGGACATTTGGCGTAGTACAATGACATCGTATCGTAGTACCATTTTATGTGTACCTTTCTTGTATCAATAACGTAGGTTACATATAACAAGAATGACTTTCTCTTAGCGATATAGTCCTGTAAGATACATATGTAGCTACCTCCATCCTGTGATAACCAGCATGTTCTCTACTAGTATTGTGGGCTTTCTCCACAGATATCGACGAATGTGCAACTGACACAGACAACTGCCACACTCAAGCAACCTGTGCTGACACAGACGGCAGTTTCACCTGTACCTGTGACACCGGTTACAGCGGGGACGGAGTCACCTGTACTGGTAAGAACAAAGGATTTGGATATACATCTGCGAAACATTGTACTATTAGTATGTCTGTACTACTTTTATTGGGCTTTATTTCACAATTTCAATTTCAATTTATTCATTTAACTAGTAATTACAGATCAGGCCATTTACATATCCGGTAATCCTGGATACACATAAAAATACACGCAACAAATACGCAGTACATAAACTATTACTAAATACAACATTCTAAACATCAACAGTGTCAAGTCTTGCACCTAATGCTCTGTATAAATGTCCTGAGAAGTCCTGCTCCCAATGATCTGTTTTAAAGTCCTGAGAAGTCTTCCTTCTAATGATAAAATGACAATATATATATTCTAATCTCTCAGTCTGATCTATTACGATTTCAATGCGAAATATGACCTAATATGTGTATCGTAGAGAAAGGAAAATGCTTTCACGATGTAGGACATACTTGTGATCTTTTACAATATCGCAATTGAAGCATTGAAGTAGATACGCATATTGCAAATACCTTTCCAATTTAGAGAACTGAACTGCAGAAAGTCTGTTTTCTCAACAAAACAAAAATAACATTGTGTTCTATTGCATTTTAAGTTGTGACATTTGGCCTAAGTACCAATCCTTTCAAGTGCATCGTTTGTGATTATTTCCACGGTAAATGCTCCGTGGAACTTCATTCGCTAGTGCCCCCACTTCGAAAATTCTCACCAAGGACACGTCTTGCCACTTCCACCGAAGCAAATTACCTTTTTTTCCTCCATTCACCACCTCTCAGGAGTAAGTTCCATGCTGAAAGCTTCTTTCCAAAAGAACAAGAACATCACTTTGGAATAAGCTACCACATGATTGTTTCCCATATGGGTATAACCTTAAACTCAAAAGTCTAAGGTCAACAAACATCTGTCCACACTGGCTGTTCTGTAACCCAAAACATTTTAAGTGGCTCCCATGAGCCTTGTTTTGTGGTGACCGATGAAGTAAATGAAAAAAAAAAATAACTGTTACCTCAGGAGGTTACAAAACAAAACAAGAATGATGCTTTCCCATACCTAATGAGATCCTGTACATGTTCTGAATCAGTTCTGTAAGATCCAGCTCTCTCCCTCCAAAGATTTCTAGTATCAAGGACACTATATATTCTGTATAATGTCCTTGCTAGTATGTTATTGTGGTTTGCCTCCACAGATATCACACATATGTGCAGATGGTACGGACAGCTAACACACTAATGCAACCTGTGCTAACACAATCGTTTTGCTTCGTAGATATCGACGAATGTGACATGTACATTGACACGAACAACTGCGCTGATGATGCAACCTGTACTAACATAGACGGTAGTTTCACCTGTACCTGTAACACCGGTTACACCGGGGACGGAGTCACCTGTACAGGTATAACAATAAAACAATTGTTTATGTCCATAAAGAAGGATATTGTTACAGTGCATGCGTTCTTTCCGCTTGATTCCATTTTACAAGTAGTCACACAGGTTGCAATATCACTGGTTAATACATTACAACTTAAAGAAAGCGAAAATGTGTGCACGATACAGTGATACTGCATAAATGTATTTGTGACACAATATTGGTTCGATAGCTTGATACTTTTTCCATGTCACAAATCGTAGCAACTTTCATTGATGAGATATGTATGGTTTTGAAAACGGTGTTCGGTGTTGGTGAAGTCATAATCAAAGGCCAGGTGGGGAATAATTTGACCTTTCCTGTTAGACATCAACAAAGGTCCAGGGGTTCTTCTTATTATAAAACTAATCATACTCACCTAAATAAAGGAATATTGGGTACCTACCTACCTACCTAGTCCCATGACCGACATTGGTCGTGGGGGGACAAGGCAGTGCCGAACTACAAATAAGGCTTATATGCCCCGCCATAGAAATTTACGGCTTTCCAAGAGAATATAAATAAGTTATCGACAAATTCTATTAATTATGTTTACCGAAGGAAAACGTATTGTTTTTGCTCAATTTCTTCCTCTTCTTCTTCTCCAAACAGTGACCTATGACCTGACCAATGGCATGATTTGTTAACGCCTGTTGTCACCATGGTGAATGGTGTTGGGTTACATAATGTTGCAATTTCATGGTCTGCTCTGCTCCTGTCACCATATACTAAGTAGTACATGTATGTGAATGTGTTTGAGTAAGAATTAGCAGAGCAGACTATGTCCGAAGGTAAACATTAGGCATTTGCTTCGCAAATGTTACGTCTCTAGTTGACATCGTGTTTACTTGTGATTCTGCAGATACCGATGGATGCGATTCGGATCCGTGTGTTGCAATAGCTACCTGTACCGACGTCCCGGCTCCTGGGACGGGTGCAACTTGTACCTGTCCGACTGCAGGGTATTACGGTGATGGAAAAGTTCACGGCAGTGGTTGTCAAGGTAATTTTCTTTTGTTTAATGACGTTATCACTGTACTAACAAATCATACAGGGCTAGGTGTAAATCTTTGATAAATCCCGGGCTATTTTGGTTGAAATATCCTCCGTCCGTCTACATTTGTATCTATGGTGGGGTCGTGTGGCGTACCGGCAGAGTTCTGACATGCCACCGATTGGGAAAGGCACTTTACACGAATTTCCTCACTTAGCTCAGGTGTAAATGAGTATTGTCCTGTCATGTATTTGTCCCCTGTGTTGGTGGCGGCAAGTTGAAAAAACTTGAGTGTGTCGTCACCATGTCTGGTGATTACATGTTGGAATAACAACAACAACAATTGTATCTTCACAGACGTCCCCGGTTGTGACATGTACAACAATCCATGTCATTCCCTGGCTTCCTGTGAAGACGTTCCGGCTCCAGGGACCGGTGCGGTATGCATGTGCCCAGATGGATATGAGGGCGATGGAATTGCGGATGGAACCGGATGTACAGGTAATAAGAAGAACTTTATTGCACGACAGTTGCACATGGTACAATGTATGACAAACTACATAAAGAGAGTAACAAACAATGAAATAAATGTTGGATAAGACCTAATGTCGAATAAAACCTAACATATCTTAGTTATTCAAACAGTAAGGGCTAGCACACGTCTTTGATAGAGTGTTACAATCGAGTGGGCTAATCACAAGTTTCGGTATTTTTCTAATAACAAAGCATTCCTTTATATATCTACCTATTTGTAATACGTATAACTGTCGGCAATTCATTTTTTTATGAATGAATGGAGTATATAGTAGAGGGTATCCATTCCTCAAGCTAACCGACATCTCGCACACGCAGTCGTCCCTCAGTAAGACATCTGGAGCCGAAAATAAGGCTGAAACGACGGTTCAGAGGCGGATGAACACACGTGTCTGTACAGGGAATATACTTCCGTTCCTGTATTTTGTTGAAAAATGCATCATTGTATTTGTATTGTTACATTTTGTTTTGAATTGCGAAATAAACTGAAACTGAAACTGATCCAATGTTGTGGAGGCACTGCTACGTCATATCACACTATTTGTGATATGTACTTCATAGTATCAGCATCTTGTTACTGGAAGATTCTTTAAGTAACTGTATCTATACGTGACAAATGAATCTCTTCAACGATATCAGCATCAGCAGCCTTCACTTAATAGAGATGGTGGACGATATGAATTCACTGGCACTTTTGATCAATTGCTTACGTCACGTATCAGTAAAATATCGTGTGAATAAGGTCACGTGTTTGTAAACCGTAATTCTCGCGAGATCACGTTGTTAAGTGATTGGTCATTAATTATCCTGATGAAGGCGACAGTGGTCGCTGAAAATTTGATCCCTGTACAATTGTGTGTTGGAATAAAGTTCAACCTTTTACTATGATTACTACCAACACAGATGAACTTTCATGATGATATTAGAATCTTGTTCTTTTTTTTTTAGAAATCGATGGATGCGACCCCGACCCGTGCGATCCCAATGCTGACTGTGCAGACCTCCCACCTCCTGCCAGCGACGCGACTTGTTCGTGTAACACTGGATATTCCGGAGATGGATACACATGCACAGGTATCACTGGAGCTTGAGCGAATGTGCCATGTGTGTGTAATATAAAAATGACCTCTGACCTTGTTCAAGTGCTTAACCGTTGTGAAATGCATCACACGTGGGTACATATCTTTTATCAATAACGTGTTTTATTTTGTATTATTTAATTTGATTATGTTATGTACAATATTGTATTAAGTTCTTTAAGATATTATTTGATGTCTCCAGTCTGACTTTTGATTCGGACTTGAATTTCTGTACTGTTTATTTTATGGTGTCCTATAAGCGCATATGGAATGGGCGACAAGAGTCGCAAGACACGTTAATAAAGATTCATTCATTCATTCATTCATATTGAGATTACGTTGATGTTCAGGTCGTCGAGATACTGCTCATCACTCCCCCCCCCAAGTGATTACTTTCAAGGGCTTGTGGCTTTGTTCTAAAGAGTAAACAAAAATATTAATGCCGTAAATAATTTCATTAGGTTGGTAAACGACTGAATAGCAACGTTCTTTTTATCACAACCATTTATTTTACACTAGCCGACGTTTCGATGACCCTCTGTCATCTTCATCAGGGCAATTCTGACTGGTTTACTGTGTACTGAAACTAGATGTTACTTGGTGCATAGTGCCCTAAAGGTGTTACACTACGTTCCGGAATGTATGGTAAACAAAAATAAAAAACGCTTAAGTGCACTATGAACTATGTAACACCTTCAAGTAAAGTAAAATCTAGTGTCAGTGCACAGTAACCCAGTCAGAATTGCCCTGATGAAGATGACAGAAGGTCATCGAAACGTCGGCTAGTAAAAAATAAATGGTTGTGATAAAAAGAACTTTGCTATTCAAAAATATTAATGGTTCGTTGTTGCTGTTTGTCTCTAAAGATATCAACGAATGTGGAGCTAACACGGACAATTGTCACGCTGATGCGACCTGTGGTAACACAATCGGCAGTTTCACCTGTACCTGTAACAGCGGTTACACCGGGGACGGAGTCACCTGTGATGGTAATGTTTGGCACTGCTTTATAATAATCCCATGTCAAAATTGGCACTTAAAATGTTTAAATATATGTATTTGAAAAAAAAATCAGTAGGGGTTCAGTTCTGTAGATATAGCTCCCTCCCTATTGATGACTAGCCCATCCTGCACAGGGTAAGACGAAGATTAATAGTGCATTTTGTCTCTACAGATATCGATGAATGTGCATCTGATACGGACAACTGCCACACTCACGCAACCTGTGCTGACACAGACGGTAGTTTCACCTGTACCTGTAATACCGGTTATACCGGGGATGGAGTCACCTGTATTGGTAAGACACGTCAACATTATACTGCCAGAATGCATACATTGCAAGTTTCCATTCGTTTATTTTTAACATCGATTAATACATCATGAAAGTTCATCTGTGTTTGTAGTTACATTTTTAAAGTTAGAACGTTTGGTCCAACACAAAAGCATTCACCTAGAGCTTTCTACCAGTCACTCTGGTCTTCCTCAGTAGACTGACCCAGCGAAGCTTGTCACGTGGTTTCTTTGAAGTGTGACGTCAACACTGGGGCAAAGGTATCTGGTAGACGATGTCGGCCCCCGTCGCGGTTCAATGAAGGGTGATGGGGCCTGATGTATATGACTTCCTTCACCCCTCTCAAGAAATAGTCTTGTTTAGTGTCCAAAATCCTTACAGTGTCAATTAATACATGTATGTTTCAATATATTGCATTGAAATGGTATCTTAAAAATGCAAAATGTGTGAAACAATTTAGTGGCAGGCACGGACGTCACACTTCTATTAACGATGTAAACACAAATAAGTAATGGTAAGCGTCCAGAATGAATGCATTGTTTCCGTGTCGAAATTACACAAAATACAAAACTAACTTTTTGCCTAATTATATAATATAATGACATTCTCTAACATGATGAGCTGCCTCTCTCATGAGCTGTAAGTCGGGCAAAAATTATTATTATGTTATTGCCGCTTGTTAATTTTGTCAGATATAGCCCCATTGTAATGAATATCATGTTCTCTAAGATTTGCTGCAGAGGGTAAGGCGAACATTACATTTTATCTCGACAGATGGCGACGAATGTGCATCTGGCACGGACAACTGCCACGTAGATGCATTCTGTACTGACATAGACGGCAGTTTCACCTGTACCTGTAACACCGGTTACACCGGGGACGGAGTAAACTGTGATGGTAGGAGCAAAGGACTCGGGTGTTCATACTTAAAACATTACACTATAAGAGAGAATGGATTCCTTACATACCGTGCAAAATATAGTATCAAAGTCAGATGCCAAGATGCAGTAATATCCCGTTAATACACATGTAATTGGGTATATCAGCTTGCATGTCAGAGAACATTAAACTTATATTTGCAGAAACGATACGTGTCTATTTCGTACGTGATAACGATGCGAAACAACGCAAAATTAATTGTGAGGTCGTGTGGCGTAGCGGTAGCGTCTTCGGCCAAGACTCGAGAGGGCGAGGGTTCGAACAAAGGGTTTGGTTCTACAAGATCAAGATTCAATAAAAAACACTATATTTTTAGAAATAAGGAGCCATGGACGTATTTTGATGTCGTTTGTCTCTACAGATATCAACGAATGTACAGACGGCTCGGACAACTGCCACGACCAAGCAACCTGTAGTAACACAGAGAGCAGTTTCACCTGTGCCTGTAACACCGGTTACAGCGGGGACGGAGTCTCCTGTACTGGTAAGAACAAAGGGTTTGGTTCTACAAGATCAAGATTCAATGAAACATTATATACTTTTAGAAATAAGGAGCCATGGCCGTATTTTCCTTTACGTATTGACATTCGGTACAACTTTTGGTCTGTGAAAAATAGATTCCTTAAATTTCCTCAGGGATCAACAGCATGTGCTATGAGGTTAGTATAAAGAGAGAGACGAAGATTACTAGATTACTAGTATTTTGATGTCGTTTGTCCCTACAGATATCGACGAATGTACAGACGGCTCGGACAATTGCCACGACCAAGCAACCTGTACTAACACAGACAGCAGTTTCACCTGTGCCTGTAACACCGGTTACAGCGGGGACGGAGTCACCTGTACTTGTAAGAACAAAGGGTTTGGTTCTACAAGACCAAGATTCAATGAAACATTATATACTTTTAGAAATAAGGAGCCATGGCCGTATTGACATCCGGTACAACTTTTGGTCTGCGAAAAAATAGATCCCTTAAATTTCCTCAGGGATCATTATCATGTGCTGTGAGGTTAGTAGAAAGAGAGAGACGAAGATTACTAGATTACTAGTATTTTGATGTCGTTTGTCTCTACAGATATCGACGAATGTACTGACGGCTCGGACAATTGCCACGACCAAGCAACCTGTACTAACACAGATAGCAGTTTCACCTGTGCCTGTAACACCGGTTACAGCGGGGACGGAGTCACCTGTACTGGTAAGAACAAAGGGTTTGGTTCTACAAGATTCAATGATGAAACAGAATACTGTTAGAAAACAGTAGCCATGCCTGTATTTTCCTTTACGTATTGACATTCGGTACAACTTTTGGTCTGCGAAAAATAGATCCCTTAAATTTCCTCAGGGATCAACAGCATGTGCTATGAGGTTAGTAAAATGAGACGAAGATTACTAAATTATTTTGATGTCGTTTGTCTCTACAGATATCAACGAATGTACAGACGGCTCGGACAACTGCCACGACCAAGCAACCTGTACTAACACAGACGGCAGTTTCACCTGTGCCTGTAACACTGGTTACAGCGGGGACGGAGTCACCTGTACTGGTAAGAACAAAGGGTTTGGTTCTACAAGATTCAATGAAACATTACACTTTTAGAAAACAGTAGCAATGCCTGTATATTCCTTTACGTATTGACATTCGGTACAACTTTTGGTCTGCGAAAAATAGATACCTTCAATTTCCTCAGGGATCAACAGCATCCGCTGTGAAGTTAGTAGAAAAGAGAGACAAGAAGATTATTAGATTACTGTTTTTTTGATGTCGTTTGTCTCTACAGATATCGACGAATGTACAGACGGCTCGGACAACTGCCACGAACAAGCAACCTGTACTAACACAGACAGCAGTTTCACCTGTACCTGTAACAACGGTTACAGCGGGGACGGAGTCTCCTGTACTGGTAAGAGCAAAACATCCGTAAACTTTATACCGTCAGCGCAGACGTACTGCTTTTACTATTAACAGTGTAACAATTCTTCTCTTGTATCGACCATGTAGGTTACAGAACAAGAATATTTCCTCTTTGCCTAATTAAGTTCTACAGGCTTTTTGTGAGCTAGAACTGTCACTTTCCAGTAACGACCAACTTGGACTATAAGTTATGGAAAAGTGTAAAACTAATATTACTATATAATATACACATATTTTGTCCCTACAGATACGGACGAATGTGCAGATGGCACGCACAACTGCCATGATGATGCAACCTGTGCTAACACAGACAGCAGTTTCACCTGTGCCTGTAACGGCGGTTACAACGGGGACGGAGTCACCTGTGCTGGTAAGAGCAAAACATCCGTAAACTTTATATCGTCAGCGCAAACGTACAGCTTGTACTATTAACAGTATAACAATTCTTCTCTTGTATCGACAATGTAGGTTACAAAACAAGAATATTATGAAAAGGTGTAAAACTAATATTACTATATAACATACACATATTTTGTCCCTAAAGATACGGACGAATGTGCAGATGGCACTCACAACTGCCACGCTCAGGCAACCTGTACTAACACAGACGGTAGTTTCACCTGTACCTGTAACAACGGTTACACCGGGGACGGAGTCACCTGTAGTGGTAAGAGCAAAACATCCGTAAACTTTATACCGTCAGCGCAGACGTACTGCTTTTACTATTAACAGTGTAACAATTCTTCTCTTGTATCGACAATGTAGGTTACAAAACAAGAATATTTCCTCTTTGCCTAATTAAGTTCTACAGGCTTTTTGTGAGCTAGAACTGTCACTTTTCAGGAACGACAAACTTGGAGTATAACTGTATAAGTTATGGAAAAGTGTAAAACTAATATTAGTATATAATATACACATATTTTGTCCCTACAGATACGGACGAATGTGCAGATGGCACGCACAACTGCCACGATGATGCAACCTGTACTGACACAGACGGAGGCTTCACCTGTACCTGTAACAACGGTTACAGCGGGGACGGAGTCACCTGTGCTGGTAAGAACAAAAGATTCGGTTATGCATTAATGAAGCATTCTATTGTTAGAGAGAGAATTTGAAATTCAATCTTACTAGTGCTTCCAGAAGCACCTGTTTAGTAAACAATGGGACAACATATCTGAAGGGAAAATCTGTGTACGATTCGGTGATACTCCATCAATACATCCCTCCTTCCAGTAATAGCTATATATAATAGGCTGCAAGGTTTGTAGCGAAGAGTAACAGTTGAATGGGCATGTATTCTTGCTTGTCCCTACAGATATCGACGAATGTGACATGTACATGGGCACGAACAACTGCCACGCTCAGGCAACCTGTACTAACACAGAAGGCAGTTTCACCTGTACCTGTAACACCGGTTACAGCGGGGACGGAGTCACCTGTACTGGTAAGAGCAAAACATCCGTAAACTTTATATCATCAGCGCAAACGTACAGCTTGTACTATTAACAGTGTAACAATTCTTCTCTTGTATCGACAATGTAGGTTACAAAAGAAGAATATCATGGAAAGGTGTAAAACTAATATTACTATATAACATACACATATTTTGTCCCTACAGATACGGACGAATGTGCAGATGGCACGCACAACTGCCATGATGATGCAACCTGTACTAACACAGACAGCAGTTTCACCTGTGCCTGTAACGACGGTTACAGCGGGGACGGGGTCGCCTGTGCTGGTAAAAACAAAAGATTCGGTTATGCATTAATGAAGCATTCTATTGTTATAGAGAGAAATTGACATTCAATCGTATTAATGCTTCCAGAGGCACCTGTTTTTTAACAAATGAGACAACATATCTGAAGGAAAAAATTTGTGTACGATTCGGTGATACTGCATCAATACATCCCTCCTTCTAGTAATAGCTATATATACTAGGCTGCAAGGTTTGTAGCGAAGAGTAACAGTTCAATGGGTATGTACAACTGTTTGTCCCTACAGATATCGACGAATGTGACATGTACATGGGCACGAACAACTGCCACGCTCAGGCAACATGTACTAACACAGACGGCAGTTTCACCTGTACCTGTAACACCGGTTACAGCGGGGACGGAGTCACCTGTGCTGGTAAAAACAAAAGATTCGGTTATGCATTAATGAAGCATTCTATTGTTATACAGCGAAATTGAAATTCAATCTTACTAATGCTTCCAGAATCACCTGTTTTTTTAACAAATGAGACAACATATCAGAAGAAAAAAATATGTACGATTCGGTGATACTCCATCAATACATCCCTCCTTCCAGTAATAGCTATATATAATAGGCTGCAAGGTTTGTAGCGAAGAGTAACAGTTGAATGGGCATGTATTCTTGTTTGTCCCTACAGATATCGACGAATGTGACATGTACATGGGCACGAACAACTGCCACGCTCAGGCAACCTGTGCTAACACAGAGGGCAGTTTCACCTGTACCTGTAACACCGGTTACAGCGGGGACGGAGTCACCTGTACTGGTAAGAACAAAGGGTTTGGTTCTACAAGATCAAGATGCAGTGAAACATTTTATACTTTTAGAAATAAGGAGCCATGCCCGTATTTTCCTTGACGTATTGACATTCGGTACAACTTTTGGTCTGCGAAAAATAGATCCCTTCAATTTCTTCAGGGATCAACAGCATGTGCTGTGAAGTTAGTAGAAAAGAGAGATAAGAAGATTACTAGATTACTGGTTTTTTGATGTCGTTTGTCTCTACAGATATCGACGAATGTACAGACGGCTCGGACAACTGCCACGAACAAGCAACCTGTACTAACACAGACGGCAGTTTCACCTGTACCTGTAACAACGGTTACAGCGGGGACGGAGTCTCCTGTACTGGTAAGAGCAAAACATCCTTAAACTTTATACCGTCAGCGCAGACGTACTGCTTTTACTATTAACAGTGTAACAATTCTTCTCTTGTATCGACAATATAGGTTACAAAACAAGAATATTTCCTGTTGCCTAATTAAATTCTACAGGCTTTTTGTGAGCTAGAACTGTCACTTTCCAGTAATGACCAACTTTGACTATAAGTTGGGGAAAAGTGTAAGACTAATATAACTACATAATATATATACTTTGTCCCTACAGATATCGACGAATGTGCAGATGGCACCCACAACTGCCACGAACATGCATTCTGTACTGACACAGAGGGTAGTTTCACCTGTACCTGTAATGGCGGTTATTTCGGGGACGGAGTAAACTGTGATGGTAAGAGCAAAACATCCGTAAACTTTATACCGTCAGCGCACACGTATTACTTGTACCATTAACAGTGTAACGATTTTTCTCTTGTATCGACAATGTAGGTTACAAAACAAGAATATTTCCTCTTGACTAATTAAATTCTACAGGCTTTTTGCGAGCCAAAACTGTCACTTTCCAGTAATGACCAACTTGGACTATAAGTTAGGGAAAAGCGTAAGACTAATATTACTATATAATTTATCTCTACAGATACGGACATATGTGCAGATGGCACGGACAACTGCCACGATGATGCAACATGTGCTGAAACGGACGGAGGCTTCACCTGTACCTGTAACACCGGTTACACCGGGGACGGAGTCACCTGTGCTGGTAAGAACAAAAGATTCGGTTATGCATTAATGAAGCATTCTATTGTTATAGAGAGAAATTGACATTCAATCTTACTAATGCTTCCAGAATCTCCTGTTTTTTTTAACAAATGAGACAACATATCAGAAGAAAAAATTATGTACGATTCGGTTATACTCCATCAATACATCCCTCCTTCCAGTAATAGCTATATATAATAGGCTGCAAGGTTTGTAGCGAAGAGTAACAGTTGAATGGGCATGTATTCTTGTTTGTCTCTACAGATATCGACGAATGTACAGACGGCTCGGACAATTGCCACGACCAAGCAACCTGTACTAACACAGAAGGCAGTTTCACCTGTGCCTGTAACACCGGTTACAGCGGGGACGGAGTCTCCTGTACTGGTAAGAACAAAGGATTTGGTTGCACATTTGTTCAACATTCTGCTGTTAGGGAGTATTATATTCTGGTAGAGTTCATCTGAAATACAAATGTGTATCAGTGTAAGATTGATACGTATGTGGTTTACCTCCACAGATATCGACGAATGTGCAACTGACGCAGACAACTGTCACACTTACGCAACCTGTACTAACACAGAGGGCAGTTTCACCTGTACCTGTAACGACGGTTACAGCGGGGACGGAGTAAACTGTGATGGTAAGATGAAAAATATTTGGACAATTGTATTTGCTAAATCAAACCGGTTACAGAGCGCAAGTACAATAAACAGCGAGCAGATTATTATTGGACTGAGGCAGAGCAGAGCACTTTGGACTAATGTCTCTGGCTGTTTACAGCTTAGAGGTGCATGACTTGTCCAATATTTTGTCAAAAACATCTCTGTTACATAGCGGATCATAATGACCCCCAGCGGGCGTCTTTACGCTTCGTTAAAAATTCGAAAATCTCAAGATTTATTCCAAAGATCTCAATATTCTAGACGATATCTTGAGATCTTATGAGGTAATCTCAAGATCTTTCAGAAAATCTTAAGATGAAAACAAAAGGTCTCAATATCTTTCCAAGTGTTTTCAAAGCATCTTGAGTTTTTTTCATAGCATCTTGAGATTGCTTTATAAATCATGAAATCTTTAAAAATCTTGACATTTTTTTACAGCATCTCAAGATGCTATGGAAAAATCTCAAGATGGTTTTAAAATATCTTGGAAGATCTTGAGACCTTTCGTTTTCATCTTAAGATTTTCTGAAAGATCTTGAGATTGTCTCATAAGATCTCAAGATTTTGTCTAAAATATTGAGATCTTTGGAATAAATCTTGAGATTGTTCCATTTTTAACGAAGCGTGAAGACCCCCGCTGGGGTCATTATGATCCGCTATGTAACAGAGATATTTTTAACAAAAGATTGGACATGTACTTCTAAGCTGTAATCAGCCAGAGGCATTAGTCCAAAGTTCTCTGCTCAGTCCAATAATAATCTGCTCGCTGTTAATAATGACCCTATATCCTCGTAGATACAGACGGATGCGTCGGTGCGACGTGTCTCAATGGTGGAACATGTATTGACGATGTGGATGGTTACACCTGTGACTGTGCCTATAACTTCGAGGGTGATCACTGTGAAATAGGTGAGTTTTCCATTTAGAAATGCTTTATTTGTGGCGCCTTCAGGGCCTAGTGCTGTAGTATGACCTACTCGTTCCAAATAATCTAGGTATTCCTTAGGTATTTCTGTAACGCCCACGGATGCCTTGCTAATAACTGTTTGTACCCAGAAGTTTACATATATATATACAGTCAAACCTGTATCCAACAACCACTCAAGGGACCAAGGAAAAATGGTTGTTGACTGGGAGTGGTTGGTTGGTCCAGTTGGGGGGGTGGGGTGCTGGTTGGTATCTTTGTGTTGGCAGGGTAGGCTAATTTACACATCTTACTTACAAATAATAAGCAAAAAAGAAAATACAGAGTACAATTTAATAGTGAGATTTTATTGAGATCACACACATATGACTTTGAAGTCAAAGTTATTACACAATTTCTCAGTTCAGTCTTCTAAATTTACAATCATGTGACTGATGCTAATTATACTTCATATCGTAGAATTTGAGGCAAAAAGTGGAAAATAGCAGCAAGAAGTATGACTATACATCATGTGTACTTGGCTATGATATCTCTAGTCACTACTAAGTACTGTTCGATTATGTTTTTAATATCAATTGATACAACTGTTCTATTACGAAACTGGAAACTGGGTTCGAAATTTAATTTTACAAGTCCCTAAATATTGCAACGAAAATAAGAAAGTGAAACGTTCTGCCTTTGAGTCTTTTTCCCTTTCTGCTGAAGAAGTCCTCCATTGTTTTGGCCAAGGACATACCGACGCCGCGTTGATATTTTCTTGCCACCATTACAAGTTCTGAGTCGGAAACTTTTGCAGACTACTCAATACTGGCGCAACATTACAGCAGTCAACTTAATGTGACTTCAAAAATTCCTAAAAGGTTATTTTGGGCTAAGAAATTTGACGGAAAACTTCGTTCGCGATCACAAAATGGAGAACAAAGATGGCGCTGGCTTGGAAAACAACAACAACCAATCCACTGTGAAGGGGAACAATAAACATGCAGCAAAAAATACATAACGAAATTTCAAGTTTATAAAGGCATTTGTAAGTATTTATAACTCTAGATAGATATAAAATGTAGTTAATTCATATTTGATTTGCGTGCGCTGACCGCACGTGTCAAAAATAAATTGAGTAAAAGTATTCAGCAACCCTTTAGAAATGGAACCTTCCGATGACCCGCGGGGTGACCCAAGCGCGGCCGCCATCTTGAAACCAGAAACAGAAAAATTATGCCGACAAATAAACACTTCTAAGCAAAAAAAACGCTGCTTTTCATGGAATTCCACGACCATACAACGAATTCAAAGAATATTTGGGGGAAAATATCGGTGTGTATGTGATTTTATGGTGTGTTTGACGCGATTTGGGTCTTCAATCCGCCGGAACTAGGCGCCGGCAGTGTGTCGAGATCAGCGTGGTTTTCGCCGTCAAAACAAGAAACAAAACGCCCGCTAAATAAAACCCAGGATAACATTTTATATCCCAGCGATTGTGTTTTCTATAAAAAATATTTGTGGATATGCACAATATTCCCATGTTTTAACCGTATGCTTTCTCAAATTACAATGTGTTATTCTTGTCGCAAGCGCGGTAACGTTACGTGTGTGTGCAGATGGCGTGAGAACAGGGCCCGCTAGATTTTTCGTCGGTCGGTGCACAGCATGATCTAATCTCGATTTGTTTTCGAAATTATATTAGTAAAACTATAACTAATACTTCTTAACACCCCTTTGAATTTTTTTTTACAATTATCAGTTTCTTTTATTGAAGCATAATATTACTCTGGTCGTGTCGTTCAGAACTCCACATGTGCGTTGTGCCGACGCACCAAGATCTAGATCGCTTGCCCTTATGCCATCAAGTGGTTGTTGACTAGGGTGTCCGTGCCCCGTAGGGACCACAAGAAAGTGGCCGCTGGTTGCGTTGTACAGTTGGTTGCCTGGAAGGGGGTCCTTACAATGTAAAATGGGACGGGACTGTTTGAATGTGGTTGTTGATAACAGTTGGTTGTCCTAAACAGTTGGTTGGACGGACAGGTTTGACTGTATATATATATATCGACCAGTGGCATCATTTCTCTCTTTTTTCTTTCTTTCTTTCTTTATCGATTTCCTAATATTACGACACTAAATCTATTGATTTCTGTCTCATTAAAAAAATTCAAACGACTTTTAAACACACAATCCCTTTTTGACGTTTTAGATCCATCGGGTTGGCTTCTCACCAGTAAAAACACACTTTCATACAGCCGTTAAGTTTTTGACTTGGTACTCTTTTAGGAGTAATACATGAATGAGACCATAAGAAATATAAATTTTTTACCTGTATCTTCAGGCTGCGAGAAAGGGAGTTACCTATACAATGGCAGGTGTTACTGGTTCTCGGATTTCTTTCTTTTTCTTTCTTTCTTTCTTTCTTTCTTTCTTTCTTTCTTTCTTTCTTTCTTTCTTTCTTTCTTTCTTTCTTTCTTTCTTTCTTTCTTTCTTTCTTTCTTTTCTTTCTTTCTTTCTTTCTTTCTTTCTTTCTTCTTTT